GCAAGCCTGAGACAGAGATTTTGGCCAGGGAACAGGGTGTTAAAGTGGCAGGCAACTGGAAACTTCAGGGTCTTTTTTGCAAGCAGAGCATTCTGTGAAGCGGTCACCCAGTCTACACTTCGTTTCCCCAATGTAGAGGAAACCGCATTGTCAGCAGTGAATACAGCAGACTAGATTCTGGGAAGTGGAGGTGAAGTGTTGCTTCACCTGGAAGGTATGTTTGGGCTCTTGGATGGTGGGGAGGGAGGAGGTAAATGGGCAGGTGTTGTGCCTTCACTGGTGGTAGTGGAAGGTCTGTGGGGGAGGTAGTTGGGGGTAAAAGAAGAGTGGACCAGGGTACCCTGCAGGGAGTGATCCTTGTGGAAGGCGGACAAGGGAGGGAAGGGGAATATGTGATTGGTGGCATTTCACTGGAAGTGGTGGAAATGGTGTCTGATGATCTTCTGGATGTGGATGCTGGTGGGGTAGTAGTTAAGGATAAAGGGAACCCTATCGCTGCTGCAGGATGGAAGAGAAAGGGTGAGGGCGGAAGTGCGAGAGATGGGTCGGTCCCCAGTCGAGGGCCCTGTCAACAATGGTGCTGGGAATCCTCGATTCTGACCCATTCCTTTGTACTCAAACCTTTATAACTCAAACCTTCCATACCAGGCAACATCTTGGTAAACCTCTTCTGAACCCTCGCCAGCTTAAAAATATAATATCGTAAATATTTTTTGAAAATTACTGAAGCCCATTACTGTACCTTGGTCTCTAAATTGGTAATTAGTTGTATATTCAATTCACTTTAAATAATTCACCATGAGAGGATTATCAGCGTTTTTAAAACACTTTTTTTCATTCCAGCAATACTGAGCAGTCAAACTTTGAAGTTAGTACTCTTAAAGTATCTCAATACATACTTTTTACGGTGATCCATGGCTGATTTTGCATTTGTCGTTATTGCATTTGAGCAGAAGGGGAGGAAAGAATGACTTTAAAGATGTAATTGTAGCAATAATTGCTAATGCGTCCTAAATGAAAATTCTCTCTTCCTATATTTCTGTTGCTGTAGTCCAGATATTAATGTTTACTGCACCACTCTTCCATTATAAGTCTGCTAAAGGCAGGCTGTTGGACTCCAGTCACCATCACTTATTGATAACCTCCTCACTGATTATACAACTTGAGGTCTTCTTAGGTCACTCTGATCCAGACCTCATTATGTCCGTATTTTGCTCAAGAACATAAGTACTAAACTCTAGAGGTGAAGTGAAAGTGACTGCCTTTGCCTTGAAGGTAATGTTTGGCCACAAGCAGCATCTGAGAACATTCAACAATGAAATCAATGGGAATCCTGAAAACGTCTCACTGTTGGATGATGTACTTAGTACAAAGGAATATAATTGTGGTTATTGGAGTAGTTATTCTTAGTCCATCTGTTAGAAAATCAGAAGTGGCAATGTTCAATTGAAACCTGAGTATTTACAGATTCTCTCAATGAAAAAGTCTGTGTCTGAATGTAGCACAACCTGGACAACATTCAGGCTTTTGTTAATTGGCAAGTAACATTTGCATGAGGTGAAGGTCTATTAATGGTAATCATTAACAAAGAATGTAATCATTTTTACTGATTATTCAGTGGCATTACTGTTATTGAGTTCTCCCACCATTAACAACCTTGTACTGGACTAGCTATATGAACACTGGCTCCAAGAGTAGGCCAGTGGCTCGCTAATCTTTGATTTGTGATTACTTAAAGATTTTTGACATCTAGAAGGTGATAGAATACGTTTGCCTGGATGATTGACGCTCTGACAACACTCCAGGACATCCAGGATAAAGCAGCCCACTTGTTTGGCACCCCACCACTCGCAATGCATATTTACCTCTTTATCATCAGCAAGTTTAGCTACCATACATCAGATCCCTTCATCCAAATCATTGAAATAGATTTTCTCCCCCTTGGTACAGGAATTCCCCACCTACGTCCGTGACACCACCCATGCCCTCCACCTCCTCCAAAACTTCCAATTCCCTGGTCCCCAGCACCTCATCTTTACCATGGACGTCCAGTCCCTGAACACTTGCATTCCCCATGCAGATGGCCTAAAGGCCCTCAGCTTCTTCCTGTCCCGCAGGCCCGACCAGTCCCCCTCCACTGACACCCTCATCCCGCTTAGCCAAACTCGTCCTCACCCTTAACAACTTCTCCTTCAATTCCTCCCACTTCCTACAGACAAAGGGGGTAACCATGGGTACCCGCATGGGCCCAAGCTATGCCTGCCTCTTTGTAGGATACGTGGAACAATCCCTCTTCCAAAGCTTCACTGGCCCTATCCCCCACCTCTTCCTCCGTTACATTGATGACTGTATCGGCGCCGCCTCGTGCTCCCACGAGGAGCTCGAACAGTTCATCCACTTCACCAACATCTTCCACCCCAATCTTAAGTTCACTGGACCATCTCTGATACCTCTCTCTCCTTCCTGGACCTCTCTATCTCCATTTCTGGCATCCACCTGGAAACTGATATCCATTTCAAGCCTACCGATTCCCATAGCTACCTAGAAAACACCTCCTCTCACCCACCTTCCACCTTCCTGCAAAAACGCCATCCCCTATTCCCAATTCCTTTGCCTCTGCCGCATCTGCTCCTGAGATGAGGCATTCCACTCCCGGACATCCCAGACGTCCTCGTTTTTCAAGGACCGCAACTTCCCCTCCACAGTGGTCGAAAATGCCCTCGACCATGTCTCTCGCATTTCCCGCAACTCAGCCCTCACACCCCCTCCCTGCAATAACAACGAAAACAGAATCCCCCTCATTCTCACGTACCACCCCACCAACCTCCGGATCCAACGCATCATCCTCCGACTCTTCCGCCATCTGCAATCTGACCTCACTACCAAAGACATTTTTCCCTCCCCACCCTCATCTGCTTTACGGAGGGACCACTCTCCGTGACTACCTTGTCCGCTCCACACTCCCCTCCAGCCCCACCACCCCCGGCACTTTTCCCTGCAACCGCAGGAAGTGCTGCACCTGCCCCTACACCTCCCCCCTCACCCCCATCCCAGGCCCCAAGAAGACTTTCCACATCAAGCAGATGTTCACCTTCACATCTGCTAATGTGGTATACTGTATCTGCTGTTGCCGTTGTGACCTCCTCTACATCGGGGAAACCAAGCGGAGGCTTGGGGACCACTTTGCGGAACACCTACTCTTGGTTCACAACAAACAACTACACCTCCCAGTTGCGAACCATTTCAACTCCCCCTCCCAATCCTTGGATGACATGTCCATCCTGGGCCTCCTGCATTGCCACAATGATGCCACCCGAAAGCTGCAGGAACAGCATCTCCTATTTCGCTTGGGAACCCTGCAGCCCAAGCGTATCAATGTGGACTTCACAAGCTTCAAAATCTCCCCTCCCCCGACCGCATCCCAAAACCAGCTCAGCTCGTCCCCGCCTCCTTAACCATTCCTCCCACCTCAAGCCCCAACCCTCATCTCCTACCCACTAACCTCATCCCGCCTCCTTGACCTGTCCGTCCTTCCTGGACCGACCTATCCCCTCCCTAACTCCCCACCTACATTCACCTTTACTGGCTCCAACCCCACCTCTTTGACCTGCCTGTCTCCTCTCCACCTATCTGCTCCTTTATCCATCTTCTCTCCGCCTCCCCCTCTCTCCCTATGTATTTCAGAATCCCCTTCCCCTCCCCCATTTCTGAAGAATGGTCTCAACCCGAAATGTCAGCTTTCCTGCTCCTCTGCTGCTTGGCCTGCTGTGTTCATCCAGCTCTACACCTTGTTATCTCAACTCCTTTCCAACTTTGTTACCGTGCCTGCTGGGTCTGACTTGTTGGAACTGGGGTAGTGATAGTACTGAGAGTATTAACTACATCTGACTATTGCTTGACTGATCTGTGAGGCAGGGCTCCAAATTTTGGTGCTAGCCCCAAGATTATAGTTTAAGAGGATCTTGCAGTTTCAAAAGGATTGGGTTAGCCATTTTTGTTTCCGTTACCTAGGCTGATAACAGGTGGTGCATCCAGTTTTATTCCTTTTTGTTGAGATAGTTTGGCAGTCTGGTACAACTGAGTGACTTGCTCGGCCATTTCAGAGAGCAGGTAAGAGTCAGTTGCTTAGCTATGGATCTTGAGTCACACGTAGGTCAGACCAAATAAGTGCAGGCTAGAAATGACAGTTGCCTTCCCCGAAGGATAAGACTGATCTAGATGGGTTTTTATGACTATTGACCGTAGTTTTATGGCCATCATGAGACTTCAAATTCCAGATTTTATTGTATTCAAATTGCCAGCTGCTATGTTGGAATTCAAACCTGGGTCCATGGAATATTACTGTGTCTCTGGATTATTTGTCCAGCAACAATACACCTACGTCATTGCTTCTTCCACTGAATGCTGTCCTGTAACCTCTTGTAATTGTAGCTTTCCTTATTCCCTTTTTACCTTTTCAACATACAAACCATTAGTGGTAAGTTATTTTGTTGTCTATATTGAAGACAGATATCTGTTGAATGCATCTGTCATTTCCTTATTTTTCCATTATTAAATCCACAAATGCTGTATTTCGAGGACCAAGATTCATTGCTAGTTACTCTTTTTAGAAAGAAAATACATGTCAGCTCTTAAAACTATCTTTTTATATTTCTCATTCTCTTTCATACTTTAATATCTTTGTTCTCTATTGCTGTTTTTAAAACTGTTAAATCTTCTAACTTACACTATGCAGAATTGTTCTTGTTTAAAGAACAATCCTTATCTTCCGTAGTCACAGAAGATGTATCCTTCTAGATGGTTCTTTTTCATTGGAATGTATCTTTGCTGAGTGTTATGAAATATTTTACTGTCTATTTTAAAAATTAGGTTTGCATGAAAGATTATTTTTATAATTGTGATGGATCATGAATAGATTGTCTGTCTGTTTGTATTAGTGGAGCAGTTGAAAGAACATGGACAAACCCTATTCAATAGCCAGTGGTTTTCTTCCACAACAGGTTGTAGAAAACAACAAAAAGATTAAGCCAAAACAGACAAGCGCACCAGTAGAGACGTTTAACCAATCAACAGTAAGTTTACAGTTCTGTAGCATTTACGCTACCATATGCAATTTGTTCAAAAAATATAAAAATGCAAGCCTAATATTTCAATAAAAGCAAAATACTTTGGATGCTGGAAATCTGAAATTTAAAAAAAAAAGTGCTGGAGAATCTTAGCAACTCTGGCAGTATGAGTCCTCCATGACTCTCCTACAGAACTTAAGTTCAACAGACCTGCTCAGTTTCTATAGCATACTGTGTCTGACCCAAATAGTCATCTTAGATTCAGAGATCTATAGCACAGAAAGAGGCCCTTTTGCCCAAGGCGACAATTGAGGAAATTCTTTGGGAGGAGAAATGTGGATGAATGTACCTGGAGGAGGTATTTTCTCTTTTCACCTGACGTGAATCATATTACTCCTTGCCTTTCTGTACAATTAGAAAATTGCTGCAAGAATTTAAACTAATTGAAATATTTACACTTAGGAAAAGTTGATTTTTGTTTATAAAGTTTGTAGATTATATTTATAGTAAACACTTTTGAAATGTAGAAATGACTGAAACTATCTAAAAGGTAAGTCAGTGGCTGAAAAGAGAAAATAACAGCATTTTGGGTATAGGTTATGCTACACAGTTTAACAGTGGTATATTAACCTGTTATATTTCAGTGCTAAGTAACCACCTACTTCAAACATTAGTGGTGCTCTTAATTGTATAAATCCTTACTTCATATTTGTGTACTTTAACTCTTGTGCACAAAACATCTGTATTTGAGGGAAAAGAAGTCATATTTATGCCTCAAATGGAACCGTGAAGTCCTATAAATAATATAAAGTTCCTTTTAATTAAAAAAAAACTATCTCTCATGAGTTGTACATGATTGCATGGAAGCCGGGGCAGGGTGGGGAAGAATGATCTTTTTATATTAAGGAGTTACTCAGTTTGAAAGTTATTTCCAATTTATTCAGCATACAATTTTGTTTTTTGTTCAAAGTTTTTCATACCATGAAAGGTATAAGTCCACTGAAGGCAAAAGATGAGAAAAAATACTACAATTCATTTCAACCAAAGCAAGAAATTTTTTAGTTGATACAGTGTATTGCGCAGTTCCATAGTCAGCCAATTTCATACAGAACTGAAGTTCTTGTAACAAATGACATAACCTCAATCATCAGCATAACTACTTTGAGAAAACTGCTTTTGGAATTTGAAAGAGACTTGGGAAAATCTTTTTCATTCTTTTTATTCTTGCTAGAGATTGAAACAACAAGATGAAGTACCAATTTGTAGCATCGTCCTTGCTCCAGTGTGCTACCAACCATCTAATGGTTTGCAGAGTGAACGTGTGAAACATTGGACGACTTTAGAAAATGCACCTCTAGGCAAGTGTCTGAAATGTCTAGCTTTGCTATGCCTATTTGTCTGGCTTGTTTGTATCCTTACTATAAATCAATCTAATGGAATTCTTAAAAAGTTTAAAGCCAATTATTTCAACTCAACACTTCAAACATTTTCAGTTCATGAGCATCATAAGTCAAAATGCATGGTAAGCCTTTCCATTTGGGTGTCCAGTTGAAAAATAAAATTAACTGGTAGTAACCTCACAGTTAATGCTATGACAAGCCGATGGTATATATTGATCAAGTCCACTGTTCTGGTTATGTTTCCACTATTGGCGAATGATTCAGATGAGTTAACCTATGACTTTGGTGCAGAATTCTAAATGCAGCAACATTTTGATACTTGTTAAAATTTTGGATTTTTTATGTTATCTTAATCGAGATTATTTTGGCATTAGTAACTTGGGTTACTCCTTTATGGCTCCCAACTCCTGCACGTGTTTTTTTAAAAATAGAGTCAGAGATGTACAACACGGAAACGGACCGTTCAATCCAATTTGTCTATGCTGACCTAAATTAATCTAGTCCCATTTGCCAGCATTTGCTCCCTTTCCTTCTAAACCCTCTAAGCAAGTATTAGGTAATTTCTAAAACAAATGGTAGTGGACTTACCTGCTGAAGAGTTTACAACAGTGGTTGAAAACAAAATGGCATAACTTTACATGTTTCCTTACATTCAATGAGATCTAAACTTTGTTTAAGTAATGAGCAGTCATTAAACCATATACTACCAGAAGCCTGCAAAACCTTTGTAGCCAAGTTAGTTTATTTAATTGAACAGTGCTTTGCGTATTGTTTCCAGTTACTATTTAGCAAACACTTTTTTTGTTTTAGTTGAATCAAAACTTCCACTTTGAAAATCTGTTCGTCTGTAGAAACAGACCAAAGTATATAACAAGAGTTTTATTAAGAGCCTGATGTTGATTTGTTTATGCTTAGAATTTGAAAAATTGCATTAGAAACCTGCTCCTTTAACCAAGGAGAAAGCAGTTCCTATCTATTGGATCCAACGGCTATGACTTCCTCTCATGAAGTGGTGGACAGGAAGGACAAGAGAAGGCCAATATATCTGATAAACAAGTGTGGATAGTTTGTCAGTTTGAAAGTGTCCTTTGATTAGCACTAAGTTTTGCAAGATTGAGGGATTCTGTTAGGGCAGGGTTGATCTCATGGACGGCACTTCTGATTCTCACTCCTGCACCAAGAATTCTCTTCCCCCTCGCTGCCCCTCCTCCCCAACACCTTTCCACCTCCATAACATCACCCAACCACCACCCCCACCCCCGCCCTGCCTGCTGCGGGCGTGTGTGCGCACACATGCGCACACACACCAGTACTTGTCTGTCTTGTCATTGATCCTCCATCTCTGGGTGTGGGCAAAGCTAAGCTGTGGCTGGAAACTTTAGGTGGGCAGGTGGTCTTCCTACTCCATATTTGTAATTCCTGCTGGCATCCAATTAGCTGCCTGATTAACGTTCGAATGATTGGCCTTTTTTGATAAAGGTTGGCCATTGTTTTCTTCCCCACTTTGTAATTTCAGCACCTATCATTAAAAGAAATAGCTTTCTAATTGTTAATCTTGTTGATTGAAAGTCATTGTTTAGGATATTACAATATTATAATTGCTCTTGAGCTCGCAAAATAGTATAACTATTAAACTTGGTAGTTAGGGGGTGCAAGTGGAAGATTACAGTTGAGATTTGACAGATTTTTGAACAAGTAATTTGTATCTGACCTCATGATTTGAAGACAGAAAATACATCCCAAGGATAATAGAAAGTCAATGGGAAAAACAGAGACTAACTTGAAACAATCACAATTACTCGAGGAACGAGTACTCTGAAAGCTAAAAAGACTTGAGGATGACAAGTCCTCTGGACCTCATGGCCTACATCCTTGAGTTTTAAAAGAAGTGACAGCAAAGATGGTGATGCATTGGTGGTAATCTTCCAAGATTTCCTAGATTCTCGAAAGGTCCTGGTAGAATAGAAACCCAAAGTAAGTAATACTCCTATTAAAGAAAGTGAAACAGAAAGCAAGCAGTCTATAGGCAAGTTAGACTGACATCTATATTGGAAAACGTCAGAATCCATTGTTAAGGAAGGAGTAGGAAAAAAATCATTTATACAATCTAGCAGTGAGTATGTGAAATGGAATAGTGTTTGACAAATTGATCCAAGTTCATTTGAGGATGTAACAAGCAGACCAGATAAAAGACAATGGCATTTGTGGCTACCCCATTAATTGCCAAAAGGCATTGTTTGGGTGCCAGAAAAGAATGTTACACAAGGTGATAGCAAATTGTAAAGAAAAATATGACAGACTGGAAACTGAATTAAGTAACCCGAGTTTTTGCAGCATATTTATTGTAATTTTGTGAGCATATGCAAAGGTAAAGAATTAGCATCTATAGAAAATTGGCTAACTAGCATGAAATAGAGGCGATAGATGATCATTTTCAGCTTAGCACCCCATTAGTTAGTTTGCCACTGGGATCAATACTGGGACAACAAGGTGCGGAGCTGGATGAACACAGCAGGCCAAGCAGCATCATAGGAGCAGAAAGGCTGACGTTTCGGGCCTAGACCCAGGAGAGAGGGGGAGGCGGATAGAAGATGGATAGAGGAGAAGATAGGTGGAGAGGAAACAGACAGGTCAAAGAGGCGGGGATGGAGCCAGTAAAGGTGAGTGTAGGTGAGGAGTTAGGGAGGGGAAAGGACAGGTCAAGGGGGCGGGATGAGGTTAGTAGGTAGGAGGAGGGGGTAGGTGGGAGGAAGAACAGGTTAGGGAGGCGGGGACGAGCTGGGCTGGTTTTGGGATGCGGTAGGGGGAGGGGAGATTTTGAAGCTTGTGAAATCCACATAGATACCATTGGGCTGCAGGGTTCCCAAGCGGAATATGAGTTGCTGTTCCTGCAACCTTCGGGTGGCATCGTTGTGGCACAGCAGGAGGCCCAGGATGGACATGTCGTCTGAGGAATGGGAGGTGGAGTTGAAATGGTTTGCGACTGGGAGGTGCAGTTGTTTATTGCGAACCGAGCGTAGGTGTTCTGCAAAGCGGCCCCCAAGCCTCCGCTTGGTTTCCCCGATGTAGAGGAGGCCACAACGGAAACAGCGGATGCAGTATACCACATTGGCGGATGTGCAGGTGAACATCTGCTTGATGTGGAAAGTCTTCTTGGGGCCTGGGATGGGGGTGAGGGAGGAGGT